CAGAGACAGAAAATCCCAGATTGCCTGCAAAAAATACAAGACAGAAGATAAAAACACAAAATTAAGGCATAAAATAGTGACTAGAATTATGCTAAAAATAGAAACACTTGTCAAGATGGAGCCATAAATTTGATTCTAGATTTTCTACCCAGAAAGTAACAGAGAAACAAACACTTACATGATTAACAACAACCTCAAACCAAAACTAACCAAAACAATCCCCAAATCCCACAAAAAGAACAATTCTCTAAAAATAGGACCATTTTGAGAAGTAAATTCAGAAGAAAATTTATTTCATGGTTTAGGGGGATTTAGAAAGTAACATCAAGGGAGAAGGGTATGGTGGAGACTAGCCATCCAGTTTATGGTGGCCAGAGAGCAGCACAAGAAAAGAATGTGTGAGAGATCATATATATAGTACCCAAGGCTATATCTCCATGACCTACCCCGGCACATTCAGGAGTGTACTCTACTAAACTATGCATTTCTTAATCCAATGAAGTTGACATATCAGGATAACTGGTCACAATTACCCTTTGTGATACACTATAACTTCAAACCCATAAATGCTGCTAAGTAGTTGGTTGATGCCTTGTGTTCTAATCAGGAAGGATCTCTGGAAGGCATCCTCTTTTGAAGAGAATCTCTTTTTTTATAGACTGATAGATGTATCCTCCTCTTTCTTATTTTCTTTCTTTTCCTCTTTTTGCATCTTCATCTCTTCCTTTACCACCTCCTATTTCTTCTTATGATTCTGGGGATGTGGCCATGTTTCATCTCCCAAAATATTAAAGACAATAGTCTGTATTTTTTTGTTACTTGTAGTGGTTTTGTTATTGACATTGTATGTTCATTGAAAAAAGAAAATTAGCCATTTTCTTTATTTTCTTTGTACTAAAATTGTTTAATTAGCATTAGAGATATCCACTTCTTGAAGGTTTGCTAGAATGGACCTTGAAAACACATGGATATCTGGGGCTGGGGATTTAGCTCAGTGGTTCTGCTGCCTGCCTCGCAAGTGTAAGGTCCTGAGTTCGATCCCCGGTACCAAAAACAAAACAAAGCAAGAAAACATATGGATATCTTATAGGAGTCAGAGGAGGAGTGGGTGATGATGATGATGATGATTGTGTCTTTGGCAGGCTTATTTTTTTGCAGATATTTAGTTCAATTTTCTTTTATGGATAGTTTCAATAATTTATCATAAGAAATATACACTTTTCAACTTTCATTGTATATATGTCTTTCAATTTCCTTTTTTTATTTATATATATATTTATTGGTACATTTTAGGTATAAAATACATTTACATGTTGTGATTGATCTAATTAGTTTTCCTTCCTGGTATAAGAAAAATAAAATAGCTTCAGAGTCATTAGGGTCTCAATTTCCTTTTTGTCTGTATGGATTTTCTCATTTTCACGTATTAATTCATATATTTGTATTTTTCTTTGTTTAGGCTAGCTGTTGATTTCTCTCTTATTGTTTACTTCAAATCATTAGCTGTTTTATTATATAGTATTTTCTGACTATCTTTTAAATTTTTGTTTTGATTTCATGTTTTCTTTATCTTTGTAAGCTTGCTTATTATTTTAACTATTTTTCATTTATCCAAAAATGACTTTTAAATATTTCACATTAAATAATCTTTGATCTGTATTATGGTTTGGGTCTAAATGTCCCCCCAAACCTCATGCAGTCATAGGTGGCTTTTTCAGAGATGGCTGAATCTGGTGTGTGTGATGCTGGAATTAGGGTTTGTGATTACTAAACTAGTGCACTGATTGGTTTGACACTGCCCTAATCTCAGTGGTCTGTAAAAGATAAAAGGGGCAGAAGATGCTTGTTAAGGCCCTTGTTGCTTTTCTTGTCTTCTGGGTGCAAAGAACTGTTTCTCCTCTGCGACACCCCTCTGCCATGTGCCACTCTGCCTTGGAGCCAACTATGGGCTGAAACCTCTACAAACTGGGAGCTAAATAAATCTTTTCTCCTTTAACTTGGGGTGTCAGGTATTTTGTCTCAGCAACAAGAGAAAAAGTAACTTACACAGTCTACTACCAAGGTAAAGAATATGTGGTCATTTTGCTTTCACTACCTGTATTCTCTAAAACAAGACTCATTTAAGAAGGAGACATTTTGAACATTTTTATCTGTTGGATCTTTTTTCTAGGTTTACTTGTTTTATCATTAAATGAATGTTGTTCAGTGAACACTGTTTGTACTTTGTAAATTTTATAATTGTGTTTTTATATGTACCAAATGTTTACAGATAAATTATAGCTACTTGTAAATTTGATTTCCCTTTGTAGAATATGGAGTTTGATCATTTCAATCTTCCCCCTGCTATTAATTGAGCTGCTTTGAACTTCTCTATGGTTACGATAATAATTATTCCTATTCTGTTCCAATATAAGATTGATGAGTTAAAATCCAATACTACCAATATATTATTTTATAATAACCATTTTTTGTAATTTTTATTAATTATATTGAATTATAATTTTGGTGTGGTGATATTTATGATGCCATATCTTGGTGTGTGTTTTTTACATTTACTATTACAAAGGTTCCATGTTGAATTCTGTTCCCCAAAAATAGATAATACTGAAATCCTAGCCTCTAGTACCTCAGAATATGCTCTTGGTTGGAAGTGACATCTTTGCGCATGCACTCAAGTTAAATTTGGTCATGATGGAAGGTTCTTACCGCATATGATGGATGATTTCATACAGGGGGAAAATGTGCACCCAGAAAACACCATGTGAGCATGATAGCAGAGAGCTAGCTGATGTGTTTTTAAGCCAAGGAGGGAGCGAGATTTTCTTCAAATGATAGATCCTAGGACACAGGTATGGGACATTCTTCCTTACAGCCTCAAAAGCAACCAACCCTGACAATGCCTTGGTCTTGCTTTAAAGTCTCTAATGGATTCTCCTTGAAGAATAAAATATTTCTAGTTGAGTAATTTAGCTCCTTCCCATGAAGCACAAGACCTCACCCCATCCTCCAGTCTTTCCCAGAACTCTCTCTCCCAGCCACCATACTCTCTAGCACATGAGCTTCCCTTTGCAGTACGTTGAGGTCTTGGTCTCCACAAATCCATTCTCTGTATGTGCAATTCTATTGCCCTCACTCCTCAATTGCTTTCTCCTTTTGGTTTTTCTTGTCTCATTTCAAATCTGATCTTTTCAGAGACTTCTTCTCTGATCCTTGAATCCAGTGTAATTAACTCCTTAACCATCAGAACATGCCAACACATAATTTCAAATATCTTCATAGTTTGATTGATTTTTTTCTCATTTATTCAGGTAGGTATTTATAATCTCTGCCACCACCAGAATTAAAATTGTGTAAATGCAAGAGTTTTGACTGCATTTGTATGATGTATAGAGAAGCTGCCTAGCATGTAGTTGGTAAATGATATATATTTTTGAAGGAATTAAGGTAATTACTATGTAAAGGAAAGAAGGATAAAAAGAAATGCATATGCAATTTCATTCTCTCCTCAGTTTCACAGAATCACTAGCTTGGGGTCCCTAAGGACTGCAGTTAATGTCTTTCAATAGTAAAGTGGTTATTCTGATTTGACCTTTAGCCTGTGGCTCCTGGTGTTTCAACTAGATAACCATCAGCCAGTGTAGATTGTAAGAACCTTTTTTCCTCATTAAGATAATTTTTACTGGATTATAATCAATAATTACTTATTCCCCCTACTCTTCACATGTATTGCTTCTAAGGTGGAAGTTATAAACTCCCTTCTGCTTCATCTAATGGCCTTTAATGTTATTCCCAATATTATCCTCAGATGGCCAAATACAAGTTTAATATTTGAAGATATCCTAATTCTTCTTCTATGAAGAAGTCCTTCATATACTCAGAGAGGACCACAAAATATTTTGTAACAAGTCATACCCACAGGGATTTCAGGAAAAAAGACCAAAAAATTAAAAGAGAGTGAAAAAGGAAATGCACATTCTGAGATGATTTAACATTTCCTGCAGTTTTTAATGAAAGCAATTTTACTTATATATTTCCAAGCAAACTTTAGCAACTGAATTAAACAACATTAACCAAAAAGAGCCATGGTTTTACTAATTATATAGTGCAAAGGATAATCTGTACCTACATAAACCTAATCCTATCATCTCATCATCAGATAGCAGATCCATTTCTTGTTGTTTTAGATTAAGCTATATTAGTGAAATGGTATGAGTAGAGTGTTCATTTATAGGACCTCCACTGTTCAGATATAGGATCAAGTACTCCCATGATAGTAGTCTGCCCTCTGCAGGAGATCACAGTGTGCTGGGAGAGACAGGCGCACACAGAGGTCTTTTTTTTGGTACGTGAATTCAGGACCTTGTGCTTGTCAGGCAGGGGGAGGAACCACTGAGCTAAATCCCTGGCCCCACACAGAGATCATTTTAACAACATTGTTCAAAGGATTCAACAGAGGTGAGAGGAGGGGCTTGTAGCCTAACACAGAGGTAAGGTAAGATTCCCCAGGGACAGGGCACCTTAACTGAGTTTTCATGTGTTTAAATTACTGAGCAAAGCAATAAATTCTGTGAATGGTTGAAAAGTTTAGTTTGTATAATGAAGAAAAGAAAAAGAGGTCTATTGCAATCAAAGGAGGAAAAAGTAGCCATGTGCTTCAGGTTAGATTAGTTCACCAAACATCAAGGAGTTTTTGAGGATTTAAGTTCCAAATTCCCGTCTACATAACAAGAGAACAAAATGCCCACAATCTTTACCTTAATAAAAACCCTTCCTTCTAACAGACAAACTGACAATAAATATAAAATCTAATGGTATTCAATCTAGAGAAAAGCAGAAAATATTTGAGAACAACAGATAGAAGAAGGTGAGGACTGACAAGTAGATAAGACCACCAGGGAAACTGGAATGCTTGCTGAGGTTATGAAAGTACCTACATTGACATGTACCTACAAGTTCATGGCTAGAATCCCTTAGCAAACTAACAAGGAAAATGCACTTACCAATACTTGGCCCACAAAGGTTTGTGCAGAAAGCAACATTTCTATTTGATTGCGAAATACTCCATAAGAATAAAGTCTTCTTAAAGGGTTATGGGTAATGATAGCTGATGAAAGTAGTTCCTAGAAGCAAGAGAAAGGCATTGTCAGAGTGAACTGCATCTCAGGAAAAGCGCTTGTCCTGGTATCCGCCAGAAATCACTCTGCCATACCTGACCCAGGGAACAATGGACGCTCTTGCCCAATATCTCGTAGAATGAATTTTATTGGTTTTGTATATTTTTCTGCACAGCATTTTAATTCTGCAATCTTTACCCATGGTTTTCTTGCCTATCCTTAGCCCCAGATCCTTCAAACTAACATCACTGTACTGGTCAAGATTGGGAGTAAAGTACTTCTTTTTGCTCTGGGAATGAATGTTTTCACACTTTTTCCATTAAGATACATGGGCAAAGAACAAAAGCTTACATAGTGATTTTTAGGTGATTACTTAACTACCTGATTTTTTAAGAGGAAGCAGGAAGGGAAGCTTCAGCAACTTCGTTTGTTTTACTGTTTTAACTGTTACCACAATCTCCTGAGTTTATAATCCTCCCTCATATGTATATAATAGCTTTACCTATTACATTTGAAATTTATAGTAATTTTATATTTCAGGTAAAATGGGTGTAATTAAATCAATTTTATATTGAGAAGGAGACCAGGAACAGAAAAATTAAATATCTTGCCCAAGATCAGACAACAAGGGAAGGCAGGAGTCTGAGTGAGCATCTATATGTTTTAATAAAGTCTAGAACCACCCACCAGGGAGACAGATGCTGACTTAGGGCTAGGGCTAGTTATACCTTTGGAGGAGCTTTCTTTCTCTTTTTCTTCTCTCTCTCTCTCTCTCTCTCTCTCTCTCTCTGTCTCTCTCTCTCTCAGTCATGGTGCTGGAGCTCAAACCCAGGGGCACTCTACCATTTAGCTGCATCCCCAGCCCTTTTTATTTTTTACTTCAAGACAGGGTTGCATGAACTTGCCTAGGTTATCCTCAAACTTTGGATCCCTTTGCCTCTGCCTCCTGAGTAGCTGAAATTGCAGGCACGGTGAACTGCCCAGTCAGCTTTACTCTGACTTTCTGAAAAACTCATTTTACATGAATTCAAGGGTTCAAAATCACTTAAGTTTTATACAATATTTACTGAGTTGTAGGAAAGGAAATCTTATTAGAAGGTTCTTTGATAGGATTCATATTTTGATTAATGATTTGGCCTCTTATACACATGACTCAGCATGTGCATTTCTGAGCGGTCTAAGAATAATTTTTAAAATATTTCATATAACATTAATATAGGACACTCATTTGAATTTCATGTTATAATTGGAAGTAACTTCTGTGCAAAAACAAATTGGCTCTAAGAAATAAGAAAATCTTACTTGTGGGTGTAGAACTCTTTAAAAATGCACATTTATGAAGAAATTATAACTCTCCAAATAATTTTCAAAAGGACTTTTCACAGTATTTGGTTTATGACAATTTTGCATTTGGTCAACTTTTCCAAAGGCTTAGAGAGAAATAGAATACTCTCAATTTATTTAAATATTGCTAATTATTGAGTAGTCACTCAAACTCCTCAAGCTTCCAAGAGCAGAACAGTACAGTGTACTGGTTGCTCTGGCCCCACTTCTTAACGTTTTGTAACATTTACTTAATACTTGAAATTAGAAGGAACCTCTACACTGAAGTGTAGATATGAATTATACTCAAAGTACATATGAATTGACAAATATTCTCTCATATTTTTGTAACCACATAAAATGCTTATAATGGGAAAGAAGAAATGTTTCCTGGAGCAGAATTTCTATACTTTCCATTGTACATTTAAAAAGTTTTTTTTCCTTAAAAAAACCTGCTTTATTGACTCCAGTGACAAATTTATAAAAAGGTAACATCTTAATCTATTCAGATTTACATTGATAGGATAACTATATGTGTACAGTTTTTATTGCACTCATGTTCTATACCCAAGACAAGTATCCAAGTGTTCTCTAAGTTTCAAAATTCAAGCCACAATGCCTTGACTAAATAACATGATTATAAACAGGTATTGAAAAATTTCAAATGTGCATGCTTCACAACAGCTCCCTTCTATCTGACCTTTTTCCAAAATCTTGTTTCTTTAACAATTTATACTCTTAAAAATGCATTTATAATTTTATAGGTAAGTGATTTGATTTAAACAATTACTTGGATCTTTAAAAAATTTTAAACAATGTATTGAGAAAACAATACAAATGCATTTAATACTAATCATTGATTAAAATACCCAAAAAGCAAACAAAAAAATCCTCTTAAATATATAAATACCTAAATATAGAAAATATCCATCAATAGTCAAAGTACATTTAATAGTTGTATGAGAAAAGTGAAGTGAGCACTTGATGCCAGGGAAGATTTAAAAATGAGACTTCAAGCAAATGCTGCCTGTGGGCCAGGCTTGTATTATGAAGATTTAAACCTAATATATAATATATATAATATACTATACAATTATAACATAGCATATATTATATAAATATATATATATATATAATTTTTTTAATTACACAAGTAAAAAATTGGTAATTTTTTTTACAAAGTGTAATATACCAGTACAGTGTATTCTTTTTAAAGAATGTGACTTTTCAAGTTTTAAAACTCCCTTGGTTTCCATTCCATAGTACATTTTGAAGTAAAAAGAGGTGAAAACCTGGAGTCAGATTTACCATACTCATTCACCCATAAGTCAGTGTCTCTGAATTATTTCCCAGATATTTATGCCACTCTTAAAGTCTTAATGCAGAAATAATTATTAATAGTGTGAACTCAGTAAAAAAGTCCATGAGCTTCAAAATTTGATACTTTTTAAAGTCAAAACTAAATTGCTTTTAATCAACCAAATTAAAATTTTACCAAGTTGTTATAAATTATGTTATGTGATTCCTTCATGTTAAGAGAAACCATTTTATAAAATTTTCCATATAATGATGATGCCCAGGTAAAACATGTTCTATTATGGAATTTACCATCATCTATTTGTCAAAAAAACAAAGGTACAAAACAAAACTGGGAACATTTACACAGGGCATGATAAACTCTTTGCCTTTGATGTCTGCTAGAAGTCATTAGATAGTGTTTGAGACATTTATTTCCTACTCTTAAGCAACACCTCATGGGCTAGCTATCATTTATTCTTGTCATTACAGCTATTATTCAACATTGCCTTCCCTTGCAGACCTGGTTTGGGAATAAAGAGTGTCTTAGTATTTGGGCTGGTAGCATTTGGCTAGGTGTGCTTGCTGTGCTTGTATAGGAAGTTGACATCTTGTACTCCTTTTCCTCTCATTATAGTATCTTGTACAACTGTCTTTCTAAGAGTAAAGATGGCAGACACCATGTTTATGAACATATATTTTCAGAATGGTGACCTCAGTGTCCAGACTAACATTCATCACCATCACCATCCATACAGGCAGGGGTAGGAGGCCTGGCCTCACATCTGCCAGCTTTAGAATGGCAGCCTGGGCTTCTGTGTCCTACCCTTTCAGGGGGACCAGACAAAGCCCGAAAAATAAGGGAAAGCCTAGATTATTTGTGAAACAGGAACATACGCCAGAGTGTCTCTGGTTTTCACACAGAGGGGGTCCCAAATAAAGCAACTGACCAGGGTAATTCCTGCTCTCTTGAAGCTTTGTCTTTTTCTAATGAATCTCCAGCTTATTCTAAAAATGGATAAGATGAGAAGTCCACTGAAGAAGGTCACAAAGGAGGAGAGAAGAAATGCTGCTTGAATTTCAATTCTGCAGGGCATTTTTCCCAATTCTTTCCCCCTTTCCTCTCGTGGCTTAGCTCAAAACATCAGGAGACAGAATCGTGGGTTATTCTGTGATGTCACAATGGCATGGGAACAGTTCTGGTGTGTAAAGTTGCTTAGATTATGGCACCATGGTGATAGTCAACATGGAGTCCTGCAAACACGAACTGCCAACCTCTGTGTTGACTCATGAGTTGCAAATTAAATCCACAGCTGGAAAAGGGTAGCATCCACAGCATGGATGGTCCAATGAGGAGAATTCTAGATCCAGTTATTACTGATTTCCTCTGTGACCTTGGAGAAATCACATCTTCTGAGGCTGTGATCATCTGGCTCCCTATTTGACTTGTGCAGTCAGAAAACTTCAAAACAATATTTTGGATAAATTTACATCAAACCAATCTGTGTGGGACTGGATGGCTTCTGCCTCCCAGGGGCTGTACAGTCTCAGGAGATAGAGGAGAAATACTGCAAGGTTTTTGTTTATCCTTTAAACAAAGTTGCCATTATATAGGAAAAATTCATCTAAATATCTAATGTACAGTATGAAGAAGACTAGTTAGCTGTGTAGTGCATTTGGAATTTTTGCTAAGAGTGGATTCTAGGTGGTCTAGTCACACACACACACACACACACACACAAAAGTAACTCTGTGATGATGGAGGCACTAATTTGTTTGGCTACAGTAACCATTTCATTATTCTGAATACAGCAGAACATCAAGTTGTTTTCCATACATTTTTTTTTAAACCAAGAATACCTTGAAATAGAAAATAATAATTTTGCTTCCCTTGAAATAAGAAAGTCATGTTACAGGATGCAGTGACTGCAGAAGCATCTTTATGAGTGTGATCGTGGCTTGACTGTCACTGTGCCTGTGAGTCTGGTCTCATCTCTTCTCTTTTGCTCTTTCATCCTTGCCCTGTCACCAAGTTATTTGATACAACAGAGGCAAAGTTCAGCATGAAAGAAGTTTATTTTCTCTGATGTTTTCAAACATCATACCTCACAGTGCCCACAGGTGACAGGTGAAATGTGGGAACCCATCAGAGGGCCTAGTTTACCTGTTTATTTGCATAAAAGGCCCATCACGAGGTGATGAGAGCTAGGGGAAACCATGTGACCCTTGGAAGCCTGCAGGACTCTACTCCATGTGGCTGGAAGACAACGGAAGTATTTTCTGAATGGCTGCCAAAGTTCTTCCTTTCCTTAATTAAGCTTGCCCATCCTAACCACAAAACCCTGTTCATACTCTGAAAATCCTGTGAGCTTGAGTAGCTCATGACTGAGTTCATAAATTAACACAAGCTATCCATACTTCTCGTTTCTCTATTTCCCACTTCTTTGTTTTTGTTTTTGTTTTGAGACAGTCTTGCTATGTATTCCAGGCTGGCCTTGAATTCACTGTGTAACCTAGGCTGGCTTCAGTAAATTTATGGTAATCCTCCTGCCTCAGCCTCTCAAATGTCAGGATTAGAAGATGTGTGCTGCCAGGCCAAGCTACCACATGTCCCACTTCTTGGTGAAAATTGTACTTTTGAAGGAGGTAATATCCATCATCTATTTCATTTTGAATGTGTGTAGAAGAGAGGGAGGGAGAGAAAAAGAGAAGAGCTGCAGAGACAGGCAGTCAGAGACAGAGAGAGAATATCTTTACTGGCTTGCTAGCAGGCTTATATTTGGTAATTTTTCTCCAAGTTACTAAATTACTATCTACTACAAGAGATAATCATCATTAGAAGTGGGGGGGGGCTGGGTGGACATGGACCAACAGAAGGATGATGATGAATTCCGTGCCTTCCCTCCTAGAGGGTGCAGTTGAGGGAGGAGGAAGCTCACAACTGGGCACTGTGAGGAGTGAGTGGGGAGAAGCACTCGTGGTGGAGGAGGAAGCCAAGCTAGTGAGGGGGGAGCGAGAGCAGGAGACCTGCGCCGAGCACCGGGTCACTGGACCTGAGGGCTGCCGGACAGGGTGCCCCAGCCAGTCCTCACAATGGGGTGTTGGGCTGGGAGATGCTGTGAGCCATAGTGGAAGGGAGAATGGTGCTTCTCAGAGCAGAGAAGAGCTGGTCAGACAGGGTGCGATGACCCGAGACCGCTGGTGCACTCGGCGTGCCCAGATTATGAGAGGACCTGCATTCCAGGTTAAGGGTTAAAAAATAAGCAGACAGCAGCTTTATCTTAAGAACAAGAGAAAACATTTGAAAGATTATAAGGAAAGGGGTGAAGGGATCGGATGTCAGTTGTAAATGCAACCCCTGGCTTCTCTGCAGAGATGGGGGGAGGCCTGGGAGACTTCAGGGGAGGAGAGGGGAACAGCCCAGGAGCTGGCTCTCCATGGTGCTTCTGTGGTTGCTGGTGCTGTTCACTGCTGGGCCTTTAAAATACAATCTGAGAAATAAAGACTATGCTATTGAAGTGTTTTGTTTGTTTGTTTGTTTTTTCGTATCAGTGATTTTATTAAGAAAATGCTTTGCTTTGTACACACCTCTGTAATTTGCCTCTGGACACTTGACATATTCTGGAAAAATTATACTTTATAATGGGATGAATAAATGTTTAATTTTAAAAATTTACTCTCTTTGTGAAGTACGCTGTATTGGAGAAAGAAAAATCAAAACTTTATTTTTAAGTGTGTGTACAGTAGCACTCATGAACATGTGTGTGTGTGTGTGTGTGTGTGTGTGTGTGTTTGCAATGCTTTTGAAAGCAATAAGTTATATTGCAATGTTGTCTTTTAAGGGCATAAGTCTTTCCCACTTAGTACTATAACCTTACCTTCTTCTAACCTACAAGCCCAGGCTTATTTCCTATCCTCAAAGACCATTCACACCTTTTTCTAAACACTAGTGAATACATGGTAGTCGATGACAGAACAGGTCGAAAGTCAAGGCTAGGAGTGGCTGTAATTCCACAGAGCAGGCTCCTGGTGAAACACATCACACAAGTGGCTTCATGTCAGTGTGGATGGAGTATATCCATCCCTCTGGAAATGTTACTTACAGATGAGAGCCTCAGTTTTTCAAGATTGTGTGTGAGACCATTTTAGTTACTAAATCTTCATGATCTTTTAAATTTCCATTTTTGCTTTATCCAATCTCTTGCATTTTCATCAACATGACAATAATGTAATAATTACTTTTGGAGAAATCTTGCTTTTCAGGGAATATGATCTAGCCATGGTTATTTAGATCTATGATATATTGATATCCACCCTTTGAAAAAGTCCTGTGCTTTATCATAAACTCTGTTCCCTAGGGGTCTATTCAAATTGGATAGAACACAAACATTGTGTTGTGATAGAAATTTTAATCCAGTAGCTGGATGTCTACAAAAGCACATCTGTGTCATTGTAGATCTGTTTTTAGAAAGTAACAGCTCTGACGTGGCTGGTAGTATGAAATTAATAATTGTATTAAAATCAATTTTTTGGTAAAATTTGTTGGTATGCTTTTGAAGTATTAACCCTTGGGACAAGTTTCTTATGCTCCCTGAATACTTGTTTTCTCATCAGTAAATTGAGAAGGTCAGATTGGGAATTTTGATATTGGCAGCAGATCCATGCTAGGAATTCTTTATAGTTCTAGTCATTTCTCTAATAGAGAGTAAACTTTTATCATATTCCAGTGTCTGACTTCATTACCCAAATACTTTCTATTAAAAATGAACAAGTAAGGAGGAAGCATCATTTCTGAGTGGAGTTTTTTTAATTGAGGAGGTATCAATAAATTGACTGGGAAAATAATTTGATTTCTTTTTAGTCATATCGTTAGATATATTCCCCAGAAGAAACATGGTCAGAATCCAGAGCTTCTTTCCTTATATGATCTGCTTAGAAATATGATAACTATTTTGCCAGATAAACCATTCTTCCTTCTCTATAGGTTGATACAAGATAGATAGATAGATAGGTAGATAGATATGATTTTCTTCTAGTATTCCATTGATTAATTTTTGCCAATAATTTGCATTTTGCAGTACTGCTGAATTATTCTTCATTCTGGATGTTTCTGAATTGCATATGTGTGTCTGTACGTGTCTCAAAGACATGGAAATGCTACTGGGGTGATTCACTAAGTGCAAAATGAAGAACTTCCTAAATTTCTCTATTGTGTTGACTTGTTCCTAATCTGAAGTGTTTGGAGAATCCTCTTCAAAACTTGTAGTGCAGTCTTGAGTTTCTTCCTTTGGCCGGTAGATGGAGGTATTTCATAGGGAATTATATAGCAAAGTCCAAGATGTTTGTTTTTTGTCTTGTTTTTGTTGTTGTTGTTGTTCTTTTAAAAACAAGATGGAGGAACCCACCTGGAAAGGGGAAATGAAAGCACAAAGTAAGCAAGGAAGAGAGCCATGTCCCATCCTGTAATAACATCAGGGTTTCAGACTCTTGCAGCCTCACCCTGAACCTGCTTTCTGTTCAGGCTCTTTCATTTATCTTCTGAGAATCTATTTTTCTTGAAAGAATGGAAGTATAAATTAAATTGTTGATAACTCTGGAGGTTCAAATAGAAAAACCATAATCTCTACGACTCTTTGAGATTTGTACAAATCTTTTCATGAGAATGAATAATGCAATCAGTCTCTCAGCAATCAGGCCAGCCGAACACCACGCTGGCAGTTTTATCAGAATGCTTAATGGGCACCAGCAGGAGCAGGTGAGGCGACAGCCCAGAGCCTCACCACTGGCAGCACCCACAGCGATGCTGGCCTGGCTGCGACTCCAGGGCTGTGATTACTATGCCACCCCACTGTCCACTCGCCACTGCTCCTGTTTGGAATTACTGGTCTACTATTGAAAGGCTGCAGAGGATCTCTGAGCACAGTCCCCGTGGCTGGTTGCATTATTCCCATGCGTGCTCTGAGTGTCTGCTTCCAAAATCCTAATTACAAAGAACCATGTATTTGTTTGAGTCCCAACATGCAGCTTAGGTGAAAAAACAGTTGTCACCAACTACATAGGAGATGAAAGCCTTGTTTTCTGTATCGGCTGCCATGGAGCTGGCGTGTTCACGCTGGATGCCTCCCCAGGCCCCCAGTCTCC